CAGCCCATTTTTGATTCCCCCCCCCCCCCCCTTCTTCTGGAGACCTGTACCGTGTAATGTTTAACTAGATCATACCGAGATTGTCTTTTATAGTAATCTTTGTAACTTAAGCCCTTTTAGCAACAACAGCACGAAAGACCTAAGACAAGAAGAAAACAAATAAAATTCAGTTAACGACATTTTAAAAAAAGGCCTTAATTAATTTGTTAAAATTAAAACTGACATCTAAACTATCGCTTAAAACTTTACTTCTCTGGTCTTCAAAGAACCTGTTCATCACCTCATCAAAATTAGCAGTCTTCACATACCGGTATCACATTTAACTGACAAAATCGCAAGACGAGAAAGACTGGACTGTTTCAGATAAGATCGTAAATAACTCTTTATAAGTTTCATTTTTGAAAAGCTCCTCCTGCATGAAAGCCAACCAGATACACTGATCGTGTGTCGTGTGTAAGAATTGTAGGTTAAATAAGCGGATTTGGGGATATTCTAAAAAGTCACATTCGGATATTAAATTTAAAACTTCAAATATTGACCAATCTTTCGTTTTGTCGTCCGGGCCGGAGAACATTCGAGCATTGGGCAAAAAGATTGAACCTAGCAAACAGTATTGAAAACAAAACATAGACGTTTGCAGTTAATTTAAAACAACAATGAATAAAGGGAATTGAAACAGGAGCTTATATTTCGTGTTTTTGTTTTCTTTTAAGTGAATGCTAACAAATCGTGACCCATTTAGAGCGTCACAAACTAAAGCTACGCGACTACACTTATGGAGGAACGCACTGTACCCTCTGACCGGCAGCCTGCTCTTGTAGCAACCTGTTCTTGAGCAGCAGTCGATACTGGTGGCATCATGCTCTTGTAGCAACCTGTTCTTGAGCAGCAGTCGATACTGGTGGCATCATGCTCTTGTAGCAACCTGTTCTTGAGCAGCAGTCGATACTGGTGGCATCATGCTCTTGTAGCAACCTGTTCTTGAGCAGCAGTCGATACTGGCGGCATCATGCTCTTGTAGCAACCTGTTCTTGAGCAGCAGTCGATACTGGCGGCATCATGCTCTTGTATTTAACTTTTTCTTTTCCACAACTCCTTGAGTATTGATAGTGCTATACTTCAACAAGTGATTGGATCTTAAAATAAAAGCTTGTCTTAGTAATGCAAACGTTTCATTGTACAAATGAAACCATTAACTCGCTCCTTGTCAGGATGTGTTTCTTTACACCCGTCACCAAATACCTATTTTAAAATACAAACATCTCATTTAGAATGTTTAACACATATTTCTTTGAATGTTTTGGTTTTAATCTATGGTCTTTATTAGCGTTGTGCCCATCCAGTTACCAAGTTACACACGATGTTAGTAAAATTCCTATTTTGTTTGTTCTTCTGTCATCGTGTCTACAGCTGAGAGTCAGCAGACAGAGAAGGAGTTCTGTCCCGCGATACAGAAGGCTTACAACGAGTACCAGAAACAGCTGATAGCCTCAAGTGTCACAACCAAGGCACCGTCCCCACCTAACCTGGGATCTGGAGCCAGTTCTCTACCAGCCTGGCATGCCCTGAGTTTATTATTTTTAGCGGTAACTATATTTCTGTAACGTCCGTGTTCTTATTTCTGTCATATGCTAGATCAGCGGTTCTCAACCTGTGGGTCGGGACCCTTTTCCAGGGGTCGCCTAAGACCATATGAAAACACATATCCTTACAGCTATGAAGTAGCAACGAAAATAATTGTGTGGCTGGGGGGTCACGACGACACGAGAAAATGTATTAAAGGGTCGCAGCACTAGAAAGGTTGAGAACCACTGTACTAGATGAACTCCTAAATTTTTGTTTTAGAATTAGAAGCTAATTACTTATTCTGTTCAATTTGTTGCAACCCTGGTTGGCAAAAAGGGTTGTCGTCTTGGGTCACTGCCTCATTTTAAATGATTTCATGAAAACTTTTATGTATGAATTGTTTTTCTTCATACTTTGGTGCAACTTTGAGTTTTGGCATTGCTGATGCTTTATTATATTTTGGCATCAGGGTGTCAAGTTTCATTTGTGTGTGTTTCAAAGGTTCCCTTCTCCCTGTCAGTTTGAAAAACTCTGAGATTATCTTGTGATTTCTGTCCTTTGGTCCTCATTGCGGACACTGTCAAGTTTTCAGGCCTTTGTCAATGTTATAGGCCTACCCCTATTTCGTTTTCTTTATGACTCTGGATGACAATGTCTAATCAATGTGATACCGCTCCATACATTAAACAGCATAATAAGAAGAAAAAATAAGAATCTACTCTAGTCTTGTTTATGAATGTTTGTTGCAGCATGCATGTAATTATTTCATGGCCCTTGAAGTCATTGTAACCCAAGCAAGAAAAAAAAATATATTTCAACTTAATTCTCTTACCCAAAGCCAGGGTTATATTAAGAATTCAATGTGGGCGCTCACCAAGCTTCCTAAAGTATAATAAAATAAAAACTAGAATCACGTGAATTTTTTGAGTGGTGACATCATCCTTGTAAAATTTACTGTTGATTTATCTTTTAAATTAAATCAGTTTTTTTGTATCTGCTCAGTTCTAATTATGGTTAATGTCAAGGAGCGTTGAAGTAGTTTTATCAATCTTCATGGTAATATCTTTTTCAAACAGCCCAAGTTTCATTTGCAAAGCTTGCCATAATTTTATTTAATTATATTTTTTTTTTAAAGTACGATCCGACATGAATGTGGCTAATAAACCAGCAAATCTCAAATATTAAATGAAATGTTTTATTTATCAAAATGATGGCCAGATCCAGAACTTTAAAATAAATCTGCATGCATGTAAACCAGCAATCTCAAATATTAAATGAAATGCTTTATTTATCACATATTTGCCTGGATCCAGGACTTGAATATTATCCAGCAATATCAATATTAAATTGATATTTAATCCAAAGCATTAATCTTTTTAAAAGCATTAGTTTTTTTAATCAAAGCATGCCTCTGATCCAGGACTTGAAAATAAATTTGACAATCCATAAAAATTACTAATGGAAGGCCATCTTAAAATTCTATTTACAATTCATTATCTCTTCTTGTTAATTAACATTATTCTATTTATTCTCCCAGGTGATGTTGTATACAATTATCTCACTGAAGCTTTGAAATAGTCTCTACCCTCTCTAAGAAACTAGGTGAGCGACGTTCCCATAGTTTTATACAAGAAAGACAAGGCCATTAACTTAATCATATGGTAGGGAGGATCTTTACTTTGAAACTCACTTTTTTCCTCATTTGAGAATTTATTTGATCAGCCACAATAAAACTTCATTGGTCAAAAACCTTTATTTCTTTTTATTTTAAGCCAATTTACTTTCAACAAGGAATTGAAATCCAATGTAGTTGGATATTTGCAAAGTTATTTTTTTTTTAAAATCTTAAGTCTCAATCTCAACTTGTTTTAATAATGTATGGGAATAAATTATGTACCATGTGTTGTCATACTTGTTAATAAAGTTAACAATTAACATCACCATGATATGTTTGTCTTTCAAAGTTTGTGTCATAATTATTTATTTCTTTCTGCAAATATCTGGTATGTGAAAAACATTTCTTCAACATGTGCCATGTTTAAATTTCCTTTGAAATATAGTTAATAAACTTTACTGTAAGTAATGAATTTCTTTGATTGAAATTTGAGAATCTGTTAAAATGACATTTAATACAAATTAAGTGGGGTATCAATAATTTGTGAAGATGAATAGAACATGTCAGGGATTCTAACCCTTGTCAGGTGGCATAATTTTACACACTTAACAGGCGGCATAGGTACAATTGTACCTTCATATATTTTGTATGAAAAGTCTCAGTGTAAGTATATTTTCCGCACGGTATTCAGTATCTTCACATAATTTAGGTTAAGTTTTGTAAAATTGTACTGTAGAGTGTTGATTTGCCCAATGCTGATTATACAAATGTTGTAGAAAAAAAAAGTAGTAGCAATTTAAAACTGCAAAAGCTACGGTACAGTTGTACCTATGCAGCACAACAAGAGTTAAGAAAGACAAAGCAGAAGTGCCTAAGACAGAAAGAAGTGGATACGATATTAAATAGGGATATATTTAGAATTGAGGCAAGTCATTTCTTGTAACAATATATTTAATGATTTCAATGAAGAATTTTTAAAAATTGTGAGTTGTCAATTTTATGTGTGTGAGATTTCTTGTCAAGTTTATGTGTGTAAAGGGAAATTCTAAGTTACGCTGCTTCAGAATATATAAAATGATCTTTCCTGTGATGTGTTTGGGTGTGGTGCTCAACGTTAAATTTTTTTTTTCTCATTCTTTTTACTAAATAAAAATGACTTGTTTTAAGGAAATCTTGGACAAATCTGTCTCTCAATTAAAAAAGATAAACTAACGAATTCTTTTTAAATTTTTTTTGTTTTCATATTAAATATTTGTTGATTTGAACTTTGCTATATTAAATTTATCATATTTTCATCATATTCATGGTGTTATTTTGATCTTTTCTAAAATTATGAACAAGTTATATCTATTGAAAAAGAAACAAAAATATTAAAGAAGTGTTTTGTTAAAATATTTAATGTCTGCTAAATCAAAAATTGTCCTTTGACAACAATGATTAAAACTAATGGACATTTTTCACTCCACAAAACCCATATCTCCACCTTTTGTGAAAGCTTCCATATTTGGGGAACTGTTTGTAGTTAGCATGATATTATCTGGGATTATCTTTTCATGCTTGATTTCAGTCTTGACACCACATTCTATTCTATTTTCATTTCACCAGTTATGAGCTGTTTGTCTGCCAACTTTTCCAACACAGCACCATTTTGACCATTCACACTAATACTGCTTTGCAACTTGTCTACACACTTGTCAATCAAAAGGGGCTGGCTGTCCTGCGAGTTCCTCTCATCATCCAAGTTACGGTTGTCTGATTGCACTGGGTCAATCAGTGGTGGCCATTCCACATTCACTGACTGAAATTGTCAATGGAAGACACAATGGAAGATAAAATTACACAGCACCTGTTAAATTTCTATTTAAAAATTTGTTATAATCATTAAAAAAAAAATCCCCATTTACAGCAGGACACACGTTTTCTTTTATCTGTTAGAAATTTCCAAAATATTCAGTTTCTAGACCAGTGTTTCTGATATGCCTTCTCTGAATTAGCATTTAATGTGACCAAAAAATGTAAGTGTTTTCAGATCTTATCATGCAGCACAATTATAATAAAGTTTAATGTTTTTTCTTTAATAGTTCATAAAAATTATATGTGATTTAAACAATGAATATTGTTTTTAAATGTTAAAATATTTAAAAACATTGCATTTAAAAGTTAAAAAGAAATCATTTTACTAGTTTACCTCCACATCCAAATCTATGATATCACATTCAGCTTTCAAAAGTTCGATCATGTTGGGTGAAGTACGACCAAAATCTCCATGGACAAATTCTTTCACATAGCTATTATTTGGTTATAGAATTTTAAAAATAAGCTTTTCAGTTATAAAATTGAGTGATAAATATTAGAAAATTTTAATGAATAAAAATGACTCAATTTTCAAATTCGTATGAAAAGAAATTATATCCTGTAGTTATTTCTAATTGTGCTTAGGCAAGAACTTTCTTATATCGTATTATAGTGTTTTATTTGACATTTAATAAAAAAGCATTTTAGTTATTTTAAAACTAATGACTGTGTTTCCAACCAAGAAGCTATTTGGTAAAATGTGTCACAGCTGGTTAATGTATTTAATAAAGGCAACAGTCAAGATTTTTTCCACCACAGATTAAAACATCAATCTATATAAAACTACAACTTAAAAAAAAAGCTTGCCAATCATCAATTTTAGGTGTTAAAACCATTCTATCTTTTGGAACTGCAAAGTGCAAGATGCAATTCATGTGTAAGGATACGTTCCTGCTTGTGTGGTAAGCTGCAGTTTGAACCTGCAGCTTGTGAGCTTGTCCACATGAAGGGAATGAATGATGCGCTCCCTGGTAGCAGCTGTTCTCCTGTGCAGAACTCTAAGTGGTGTCTTTTGTTGTAAGGTCAGATCCTGGGTGTAAAATTTAATACATGAAAATTTTAGTCATAAGCTTGGAAAAACTTTCTCCTTTAACAAGTAAACATTTTTTAAAATAAGTTCTCACAAAGGCAAACAAAAAAAAATTGATTTTCAAATATTAAATAGTTAGTATAGAACATATAACAAAGTTGACCACCTAATGGGTGACTATGGCATGTTCCTTCTGGCTTAACATTATAAATATTTTTTTGTTCAAGGTATCAAAAGTTATAATTTTATTAATTAAATTAAAAATTTATCTAAATATTGTGGTGTGATAATTTATTACTTAATTTACAAATTTATCTAAATATTTTGGTGTGACAATTTATTACTTAATTTACAAATTTATCTAAATATTTTCGTGTGACAATTTATTTTACAAAGGTTAAAAAACAAACCTTAATTCCACCAAGCATTTCCATATCTTTGTCAGTTATTTCTCTCTCACACCAACATGTGGCACTGTAGGTTTTGGTTTTATCGATTTCTCCTTCTTTCAGGTTGTTGGTGTCCTCCCTAAGAAAGGATGTTTACATCAACTGTATGTCAAATTTATTAAAATACATAAAAGCAGAGGAATGATTTTTGTTTATATCAATGTAAAATACAGAAATTTATTAGCAGTGGCCCTCAAACTTTTTCAGCTTTTTTTTTTAACAGTGCTCAAAGTCAGTACACAGGCCTACCAGTACTTTTAGGTTATTTAAGTTCAAAAAGTATAGATGAAATGTATATTGAATTCCAAGACAGTTAATGCAAAAAGGTATTATGTTACATATTTGAACCAAAGGTTTTCACTGCTGCCCCTGTAAGCTAGCCACAGAGCACCAGGGTGACACGCTGCACAGTTTAGGAATAGATTATTTGAAATCATCACATTTTGGGACTATGCTACATAATACAATGCAAGTTGATAAAAAAACTTACCTAGTCACAATCTGTAGATCTCTCACTTTGACATCTTTTGACACTGAGTTGATCCTCTGTAAGAAAAATATATACATTTTTTTTTCAACTTAAAGGATGGGTTGCAAAATTTTAAAACTATTCATTTTAAATCATTTATTAAATTCTTAAAGACCAAAGAAAAAAAACTATAATAATGATGCAAGATGAATGAAGCAGTACTTTTTGAAGTTGGACTAAATCTTCTTTGGAAAACTTGACACAATGTGGGTTTATTAATTCAACAACAAATGGCCGACCAATCCCCAACATTCGCACATCCACATCTTCTCTTCCAGAGGAGGACAGGCGATGATCTGTGGTTAAGATGGAAAAGAAATAACACATCTTTAAAGAAAAATGCAATTTTTTACAAATCCCTTTACTTCTTGTAAACAGGAACTAAACCATGGTCTAATTGATGTAATATAAGAGTGTAAACAAGTGAGAGAATAAACTGGGATTAAATTTAAATTCTAAAGCTCATCAAGTTATAAACAAAATAGACAAAAAATGCTGGCAAAATTTGCTTTGCAAATAACTAAATAAGCATTTTTGTGTTTTTCCTAATCTGAATGGGAACAGTCTGAAACATTTTGTCATAACACGAATATGGTTACCATTGTGAGTTAATTTTTACCTGTTGGTTTGAAGGTTTCGATGATAGGTTCACAAATTATTTCTTGCACAGATCCTTCCATGATTCGTTTCCCTTCAATCATCCAAGGTGTTTGGCTCAGTTCTCGGCTGTACTTCTGGTAACGACCTGTGACATAAATAAACATCATATTGTGCATTAGAGCCGAAAGTTAATGGAGTAAAGTTTTTTTTAAACTTTTAATGGAATTCCTTCCTTTTGCCAGTGTTTTTATTTAATCTTGTGTCTACATCAAGAAGCCTGTTGGAAAGAGTGAAACAAAATAATCTTACAAAATGATTTCATCCCAAAATACCTAAAATAAAATTGTTGGGTTTACATGTAACTCACCAGCTATGAAAACAGCATCATGGCTGCAGGATACATCACAGACACATTCGGTCGTAGGAACAGCCGGTGGGCATGTAACACAGCTGAAAAGTTTTTAAATGTTCAGCTTACAATTTTTAGAAATGTTAGTGGGCAACAACAAAAAAATGCAGCGTTTCACACAATTAAATTTAACAGGGTATATAGGTAATAGACAAGCAAGTATCTTACTCTTCAAGCTTAGAATCACTCATGCTGTCGAGGGCTTTAGCAACATTGGCCCTTGTAAATGTCTCAAAGCCAAACTGTGAAACAATAGAGCAAAACATATTCATCACTCTAATATTTGAACATAAATTTTACTGACTGCATGGGTTAAACATTACACAAAAAATTAATAACTACCCGTATGTCATAAACAAATTTTTTTTTTCAAATTGTGTAAACCATGAATCTAATCCTTCCATTAATTGCTGATTGCAATACGCAACACCTACTTGGGTGAAAAAACAAAAGTCGAAATTCAAATAGGAATAAAAAAACTAAGGGAAATAATAAAAAAAATAAATCATTTTAGGATATAGTAGTGTTATTATTTCTAAGCATATTCTGCATAGATACATCTTTAGTTTTGTGTTCCTTATAGAAAAACAATTGTTTCGTTCAAATGCTTAACTCTTTCGCTGCGGAATAATTTTATCGAAAAAATGTACAGTATTTTTCGAAGAGCAAAAAAGAGAGAGAGATTGGATTTATTAAAAAATATGTAAAATATTATTTTTTGGTTTATAAGACTAAAACTTGGTATCAAATGAAAGATAATTAAAAGGACTATATGTTTTTAAATGTATTTCTTCAGTTTAAATAAAATAAGTTACAGAAAAGAATCATAAAATGTTAAATCATTATATGGTTAACTATTATTTCCCAAATCCTATAATGTAGGCATACCTCATCTTCACTTCTATCTCTAAAATCCTCTAAAACTACTATTATCTGAATAATATGATGGATCTAAATATTAAACATCTTCACTATCAAAAGAAATAGTATAAAACAATTTCAAAGCATTTTTAGCTGTTAATCGTCAAGGAAACTCACCTACTAGGACCTAGGGTAGCCATAGCTCCAGTAGAAAAAAATACCGAAGAAAATCATTAAAATAATGCTTCAAATGACAACAAATAAACCTTGTTTTCGCTTATAAACAATGAAGTACCACTCTTCTATTTAAGCGTCTTATTTAAAATTAGCTCTTAAAAAGTTTAATCAAGAAATAGCAAAGAAACAAACATGATATTGAAACAACGCGCAGCGCATTTGTCCGAGCTTTTGAGAACGGGGGATGAACGCAGTGTACCTTGTTCCGCAGCGAAAGAGTTAACTTGATTTAAGATGATGAAAAAGCAGCATCTCTTTTATTCAACTGCTAAAATATAAACTAATTACCTTTCTCTGTTTTCTTTTTCTAAATGTGTCTGGCAAATGATCTAAGCTGATAATGGAGAAATAAAGGGAAAATTTAAAATATAAATAACAAGAGACATTACCTTAACAAAAGAAAGAGAAAAAAACAATCTCAATAGACAGGTTTGTTTAACAAAGCAATTTGTAATTTTCTTTTTTATGTGCAGTGTTTTGAAAATCAGGTCAGTGCTTTTTTTAACTTACAGAAATGCACATTCTTTATCAGAGTCCTTGTATGTGAATGTCATCAGGATGTCAAACTCACTCTAAAATGTGCAAAAAAAAATATAACTTGGTTTTATTTTTTAAATGAGAATGCAGCAGAAAAGAACAAAAAAAGGAATTCCATACATATTTTTAAAAAAAATCACAATTTTAAACAAATATTATTAATTTTACTCGAAGAAAGTAACATTTTCTAATGGTGAAGTAAACAGTAAAAAAGATCTTTACAGCATATCCATATTAAATCACTATTGTAGTAAATCACTGTCTAGAGCGAGCAATTTGAGATTCCTTTATTCGCAATTTCAAAATTATTGATAACAGCCAAAAATCCCAAACCCTGTTCTGAAAGTTGGCTCCCAAAAGCTGACCAAGTCTAAAGCCACAACTCCATTTCCAAACATCTTTCACTGATGCTATTTTTGTTTCATGACCTTTATATGTGTTGCTATAATCAGAATAAACAAGAACAAAAAAATGTTACAGAAAGATCATGTGCACTAATGAGTAAAAAAAAATTTTTTTTTAAATATTTACTGTGAACATTAAAAGAAAAATTCTGTTTTACATTTTTAAAAATACTTTTGTTAAAAAATAATATCAAGAATAACTTGTGAAATAATACACATTAAATAGTTTATACACAAGCTACCCATTCCTTATCTTCACACAAAAGAGTGAAGATTACCTTTTATTCACCCCAGTGTGGGAAAAAATAGAATTTTCAGTTAACAAGTCAAAGCTTACCCAAATTTATTTTGCAAGAATATAAATAAAGCTTTCTGACGCACAAGTAGTGACACTGGCAAAATGAGCGAACATTGGTAATTTGAGAATTGATAGCCATCCTTTTGCACATTTGACAGAATCTGCAAAATACAAAAATTATTTGAATACCTATTTTGCTATGGCTATGGCTTTATAGTGGTTGAAATACAATTTTAGAAAAACAGTTCCAAAGGATTTTTGAAACACATTTTGTACCTTTAGTAGATAGTCATCATCTGCAAACTGCTGGAGAATGCCAAGGCAACTCGGACATGGACATTGGTTTACTGATGAGGAAGACCACAGTTCCTCAGGCAATAAAGTTCTTTCTATTTCCTAAAAGAGATGTTTGGAGAAAAAAAACATATATGTAACATATAAAATATATTTCCAATTTATATCATTAACTCAATTTATTTTGTAATAAAGAAAAATGACTTTCATATTTTAATTCTAAATTTCTAAGTCTAAATTAATTTTAATCAACCTGACAGGCTGGTAACTTGATAAGTGCACACCCACTCTTACTACTGACATCCTGACCAAAATTATTTCAAAGACGATTATATTTTTACTTTTAAATATGCTTAATTTTTTTACTATTAAATACGATTTTTTTTACATTTAGTTATGATTATTTGTTTTACTTTTACCTGAGGTGTTGACTTGTAAGAAGTTGGGTTTAATTCTCCTAGGTTTCTAAGAATACATCTTTCACAACAGCCAATTTGTCTCAAACTTGAAGAAACTTGTTTGGTCTCATCTGATGAGCGTGTGAGCAAATTGAAAGTATCCATCTACATAAATTGAACAGGTTTGAATTACCTATATGAAATAGTGTTTGACAAATTTCAATTTTTGTCTAAGTTAACTAGGTACCTAGCTTTTTATTTTAAATAGCTAAGAAAAAGTAAAAAATAAATGTTTTTAAATTTATTGATCTGGTTATTGGGACATCACAAAATATTATGCCATAATGGGAAAAGATTTTATAACATTAACAATGGTGGAAATGTTCTCACATTCACAAACTGCATTTAAATGCATTTATAATAGGCAGAAAACGTTTTACCCTTTTTAATGGTGGAAGATGCCAATATTTAGGAAATATTCAATTATTACCAATATTTACATCAAAATATTTGCTAACTTGTGTTTTAGAATGAAATAAGAAGGCATTTAAACAATACTTTAATTTGACATTAATAATCCAGGTCGGGTAGATATTTTAAATTATGATAATTTTCTGTTAACTTAACTTATACTGAATTATACAGCGCTTAATTTCGTTTTATTTTATTTAGTTAGGTAAATTACGAGGACGAATGCCACTATTTTATCGAATTTCACGGATGTATCCCTAAATTGATCCCTCAGTATGCCTAACCTGAACCCTAAATCGATCCCTATGCCTAACCTGAACCTTAAATCGATCCCTATGCCTAACCTGAACCCTAAATCGATCCCTCAACCTAACCTAAGCCATAGCCATAAGTATAAGCCTAAACTTAAACCCTAATTAATTCACACCAACTATAATAAACACCCAAAAGACGCCGTGGCATTCATCCTCAGATTTAGCTGGTAATTACTCTCAAGTTACTAACTTAATTATAAAATTAAGTCTAAATATTACGAATCAGTAAGTTAGTGATAGTGTAAACATTTAATTTAGGTTTTAGTATTTTAGTTTCAGGTCGGATTAGCGGCTTAGTTAGGCAATAAATTAACTAGAATTCCCCATCCCTTGATAAATCGTCCCTTTATATCTATGGACTTATACTAAGTCTGCCCATTATTACTTTTTGAATAAAAATGCAGTTATATGTCATAAGATATGACATGGGTAGTTCGTTTTAAACCACCATGGACAGTACCTACAATTGAACAGGGAATCGCCATTTTGTGAATGTAGGTGACCCTATTTACCGAGAATTGAGCTTGATCAGAAATTGGATTATCTGAATAGCAATATTACTTACATTTTAATATTAATAATGATCAGCATTCGCTTTACCTACATATAAAATACATTTAATTAAAATTTAGTTATATATTATTTTTGTATGGGCCAAAAAGGGAATTGGAATGTATTCTGATGAATACAAAAAGGTGTTCGAAATAAGAAGCACGTAGTAGACCTAGGAATAATTAAAATTTATTAAATTTAAATAGTCCTACAAATACAGTGGAAAATATAATTAAAAAACATGGTTGTGGAGGAGACAGTGTTGTAACCAGACTGACTAGAAAGTACGTCCAGAAAATTAGTTTAGAAAAACTTATTTACACATTATTTTCAATAGCACAATAGTAACACAGCTGGCTGGTAGCCTACCTCCAGAGCGTCGTGTGACTTTTGGTGGTCCTCTGACACCTTTCAGTTTTGTGATCCTTGTATTCAAGGATAAAGGTTGTTTTTTTTTTCCTAACACCAAAACTTTGGGTCCCTAAAATATCCGATGCCCCCTGCAGCTCTGGGTACTTCAAAATCTAAGTTGAGGGGGTGCCTACCTCATGTCAGGCCAGCGTGAAGGAGGCACTCGCCCCTAGTCGCAATATTCAGAGGGCGTCAATATCGTCAATTTTCATGCAAAATATATATATTGATTAAAAAAAAATTGGGAAGAGTGAGTCTAAATTTATGCACCCCCCCCCCTCTTAGACTTAGCACAGTTTTTATCCCCACCATGGGCAGAGGCGTAGCTAGAGAGTTTGGCACCCGGGGACAAGATTAATTTTTACACTGTCTTCAACTCTGAAAACCATTATTTTCAACAATAAAATACCATCAAAATTCATTTTGGCGTCCCCAACTAGTCCGGCGCCAAAGGACATCCATCCCCCATCTGCCCCCTTCACCCCATCAACTTCGCCTCACAATGCATTCTTTTCTGGCATCATTAAAAAAAAATTAATTGCTAACACCACGAACATTGAACAGTACCAAAACTATACGTAAAAGTAAGAAAATGGCTCATGTTCAAATAACTTGGTAAGTCACGGAAATGTGGCATATTCCTGTCTGAATTGGTCTCAGTATAGATATATAAAATATTTAAAAACTTTTTAATAAAGACTTTCTATCAAAGACAGGTTCAAATGCACTAAAAATAGAAACTAATTTAAGATTTCTTAAAATGCATTAGGCAAAGAATATATCGGACTTGCTCGGGGCCAAAATTTCCTCTGCCTGGTCATGCCTGAGCAAAGCAGAGTCAAGAACAAAATTCTGAGCCAACCAGAATCACAAAAAAAAAAAAAAAAAAAAAAAAAAAAAAAAAAAAAATAAAAACAAAAAAAAAAAAAAAAAAAAAAAAAAAAAAAAAAAAAAAAAAAAAAAAAAAATTAACACACACTTGAGAATGTAAGTTTGTTGTCTTCTGGTCAAACTATTGGATAATGTAAAACTCAGATCACACTCCATATACAGTTTGGGCCAATAAAAGTGATAACATCTCGTAAAATATTACGCTTCGAAATGTTCTCACTTTTATTGGCCCACCCTGTATATGTATATGTATATATATATATATATATATATAATTTAACACAAATTATATATCATCTATAAGGATTTCTATCATAACTTATTAAGGTTGGATAATAAAGTAATCATTATAAAATAAACTTGTAAAGAATACATTTTAAATCACTGATTATGCTACATAATATTGGGATGATGAGTCTACTTAATTTTACACGGTGTAGTGCAGTTTGTTTATATACCCCCACTGACCTGGCATTATCAGTATACCACATTCCATCAAGCGGGACTAGTTGAGTCACTAGCTGAGTGGTCGACAAACTCATTATTCAAAAGAGCCACAAATCAGCAGCAGGACGATTTTTAAAAAAAATTGAGAGCCAAATTTCTTGTCAAGAACTTGTCAAGAACCTGTCAAGAACCTGTCAAGAACTATGTATTTTGGAGTTTAAACCGCTTTGTGGCCGACTGGCCCAGCCGCACTCAGGTCGCTAAAGAGCTCACGATTTTCCGACCACTGCACTAGCTAAACAAGGTACCGACCAAACAGAAGCCGACTCCGAACTGCATTTAAGCCACGCGAAACTATTCGGTATAAATACTTAATGTATTCCCTTACAGTCAGGGAGACCCTTAGAGACAAGAAGATGATGACTGGATCAGAGGCGTAGCGAGGGTGTTATGCGCCCGGGGACAAGATTCGCGCCCGGGGACAAGATCCATTTTAAAGCGCCCCCTTTTTCTTTTTTTCAACTCTCAAACCCATTATTTTCATCAATAAAATAATATCAAAGCACATTTTGGCGCCCTTAACTAGCTGGCGCCCGGGGACATCTGTCCCCCCCTGCCACCCCCTCGCTACGCATCTGAACTGGATACTTTTATAGCGCTTGTGTCCATGCTATTTTAGCATGCTCACAGCGCTCTAATGTCCTAAAAATCTGTTTAAAGAAACAACTCTTGAAATGGTTCTTAAATGACTTTCTATCATTTTCAATTTCCCTCAAAGATTGAGGCAAACTGTTCCATAATTTAGGCGCAATGGCTTCAAAAGAGCGTTCTTCGTATGACTTTCTTCTATGTCCATCCACACTGGGAACCACCAGTAAGGACTGTGTTGAAGTGCGCAGGTTCTGTACGGATACATTTTTAGAAATCAGCTTTTGAAGATATTCAGGTGAAACGCCTTCTCTACAGCTGTACACCAGGGACAGACTTTTGTGATCAATTCGCTCTCACGGGAAGCTAGTGGAGATCTTTAAGAACTGGGGCGATACGTAACTAGCTTTCCGTGGCATTTGCTAAGTACTAGATTGGGCCCTCCATTAGTTAGTACTAGATTGGGCCCTCCATTAGTTAGTACTAGATTGGACCCTCCATTAGTTAGTACTAGATTGGGCCCTCCATTAGTTAGTACTAGATTGGGCCCTCCATTAGTTAGTACTAGATCGGGCCCTCCATTAGTTAGTACTAGATTGGGCCCTCCATTAGTTAGTACTAGATTGGGCCCTCCATTAGTTAGTACTAGATTGGGCCCTCCATTAGTTTCATGATCTAACCCGGGAGGTAATCAATCAACTAGATTGGGCCCTCCATTAGTTAGTACTAGATTGGGCCCTCGATTAGTTAGTACTAGATTGGGCCCTCCATTAGTTAGTACTAGATTGGGCCCTCCATTAGTTAGTACTAGATTGGGCCCTCCATTAGTTAGTACTAGATTGGGCCCTCGATTAGTTAGTACTAGATTGGGCCCTCCATTAGTTAGTACTAGATTGGGCCCTCTATTAGTTAGTACTAGATTGGGCCCTCGATTAGTTAGTACTAGATTGGGCCCTCCATTAGTTAGTACTAGATTGGACCCTCCATTAGTTAGTACTAGATTGGGCCCTCCATTAGTTAGTACTAGTTTGGGCCCTCCATTAGTTAGTACTAGATATGGCCATCCAATAGTTAGTTATCAGCAATAGTAATGAAAGTCAAGTGCTTATTCAATTTTATATTTTGCTGCCGGAATTTAGACTTGTGTTAGTACTCTTTATATTACTGTGAGGTTCAGATAGGGTTAGCGTTAGACATTTATTCATCCCTTCATAAGTAGATTTTCTGTGTCTTTATGAATATATTCAATACATGCAATAAAGTACAATTGTATAGGGCACTGATTGTTTTGTTTGTTTGTTTTTTGTTTTTTTTGTTGTTTTTTTTACTTTAACCAGTAGTTTGTTTAAAATCTACCAGTGTTAGCTGCCTTTTCGAATGTCCATGGGCCAAGAGCCTGTTCAAACTCCTTGAACACCATAATGGGGCGTAACGTTACAAATTTAACTTGAAACTTCAACAACATTAATAAATAGTGAAACCATAGTGAAAATCTGCACTGAACTATAAGACACAATAATTACAAATAGTGAAGCAACAGTGCAAATCTGCATTAACTTATAAGACACTAAAAATGAATAAGACAACTTCGTTTTTTTATGCATCGTCAAGCGGTCATGTTTGTGACTCAAGGGGTCATGTTTGTGACTCAAGCTGTCATGTTTGTGACTCAAGTGGTCATATTAGTGACTCAAGTTGTAATGTTTGTGACTCAAGGGGTCATGTTTGTGACTCAAGGGGTCATGTTTGTGACTCAAGTGGTCATATTTGTGACTCAACTGGTCATGTTTGTGACTCAAGGGGTCATATTTGTGACCCAAGTGGTCATGTTTGTGACTCAACTGGTCATGTTTGTGACTGAAGCTGTCATGTTTGTGACTCAAGGGGGCCATGTTTGTGACATTATATTAAACGAACTTTGTGACACAGCTGATGCGACCGATGTATTGCGAACTAAATTTGTTTTCAATATTTCCATGGCATCCTGACAGTCTTTATAGTTTTGTGTTGTGTCATGATGACACTCCAGAATTATGCAGATGTCCTACAGAACACTCATGGCTTATGTCGGCTATTACTTTAGGCACACGGGCTGCATGCTGCCGCGTCTCCCGTGGATGATTTTGTTATGAAGAACCAAGGGAACCTTTAACTTGCCTTAACGTTGTGCCTGGCATCAGCTGAAATCTTGGACATCACCAACGGAACCTTTAACTTGCCTTAACTTTGTGCCTGGCATCAGCTGGAATCTTGGACATCACCAAGGGATCCTTAACTTGCCTTAACGTTGTGCCTGGCATCAGCTGGAATCTTGGACATCACCAACGGAACCTTTAACTTGCCTTAACGTTGTGCCTGGCATCAGCTGAAATCTTGGACATCACCAACGGAACATTTAACTTGCCTTAACGTTGTGCCTGGCATCAGCTGGAATCTTGGACATCACCAACGGAACCTTTAACTTGCCTTAACGTTGTGCCTGGCATCACCTGAAATCTTGGACATCACCAACGGAATCTTTAACTTGCCTTAACGTTGTGCCTGGCA